CGGGACAGTTGCACCTGCAATACACGAAGCTTAATTGCTGTTCCATGCCTTGGACCTGCTGACAAACGACTGCGCCAACAGCGCGAGCTCACGCATCAATAACACCTTTTGGCGTAACTTTGCAGATCGGTAAACGCATGAAAATCTATTAATTTATCATTTTTACTCTTTTTTTTAATCCTCAAGCAAGTTATCATGCTGGCGTAGTTATATGCACGTCTAATGACCTCGCCTACACTAGCAAGGTCAACCATGGAGTTAGAATCATTATTCCCAAACAATGCGCTCAACAAAGTTCAGTGTCATTTGCTATTACCCTAATTTCACGCGTATAAGGCGCGGGGTGGTCCTAGCTTTCATCGAGCTGCTCAGCCGCCCCAACGTGTTTTAAGAAGCGATCCTTATGCCGCACGATTCGTCAGGCAAAACGCAGCACGGTATGGGGTTCCTTTGGTTGCGAAGTCCTTTGCTGTGTTCGGGCTGGTCGATGAAAGCCAGGACCACCCCGCGCCTTGTACGCGTGATTACATTGTTGTAGTTACAAGCATTTCACAGTATTAGAAGTATTGAAGAAAGGCCGGGCTGCTTGAGCTTTTGTAGCCTTGTACTACCTAAACCCTTTAACTTGTCTTCAACCTGCAGAAATCGCTCCATTGCTGGTATGAATATTGAGCTCATTCTCCCTTCTTGCTGTACTGAAAATCCGGACCCAAGCACCCCACCCCTGGGAAAATTATGGCTCTTTCAAAAGGCCCTTTCAAATCAAAATCCGCCTTCAAGTTCGTGAGCTAGTAATAGTGCAGTCCAAAAAATCGGGCGTACAGACGTCAAAATTTCAAAAACTCTCTAGTACACGACGATGTCATCCAGTATGTCACACTCTGAGGTTCTGGAGGTGAAGAGGAGGAGGAAGCGGTTGCTTGGGGGCTTTCAGGGGAGAAGAGCGGGTTCGTTCTCAAACGACATGTGCTCTCTCTTTATTTATTTATTTATTCATACGCACTTCGGCGTGCTATCAATCCAAAAACTGCTAACACGAAGATACTAAGGAGAGCCGCAATGAAAATGAAGAAGTAAACACAAAACAAACAAACAAAAAAACCACCGAATATTTTTTCTGACCAGCACATAAAGCTACAACATATGGGTGGGACCAGAGATAAGCTGAAGGGACATACTACCGAGTAGTGTGATTTTTAGACTAAAAATTTCGTATATCCACTTACCCTCACCAGCCAACAGACATGAAAGTGGGCAAACAGTGGGGGCGGGAGCAGAAGCTCGGCAAACGGATACGCCGGCAGCCCCCGCCGACATACCCAGACGGGTACACTGGTAGGGGGCCACCAGCATACCCGCTCACCAAACCTCCACAATCTCGCAACCTCTTGTTCAACTTCTGATATAATAGCTCGATTAGACGGCCATTACAAACTTTGCCCAAAATAAGAGTATAGCGTACATTAAAGCATGGCATTACATTACTGAATAGACTTTTGAGCGGTACGCTTACGAGGTGGTATCTAAGCAATACGGCTAAACTACTACCCAGATTTTCATTATACAACCTGCTGCCCCCGTTTCTTCTGTGTTTGAGCAGCAACTAGCAAGCAATGTGGGGCTGGAAAACTGAGTATGAGATGAGATGGGTATGAGCCATGATGATGCGGTAACAAATGATTTGGATTTAACAGCTCTAATTATACCTGACTTTAAAAGCAGTGGTTTGGCAAATCTTCAACCTGAAGTTTTTTCGCTTATCTGGGGTAATTCGACTCTCCGATTTCGCAAATACACATTAAAAAGCATGAAAATGTCGAAATCCGCATTTTCCAAGGGTTCTTATTCTTCTGTTAGTTGCTTGAGCGAAGTCCAAGATTGGTACAGAACTTTATCGCACAGAATAACAGACTAACGTTTCGGCGAACTCGCCTTCTTCAGAGTCTGAAAAGTCGAAGACACATGAGTAAACTATCCGATCAAACACCTCGTCGACTACAGAAAGGGGCCCCACCCTCTAAGAAAAACAACAGCCTTAACCAAAACCAATATTAAGCCAATGCTCACCTTAACAGATGAAAATTTGGTGGGTGCAGACCACTTATGTCAAAAGCTGTACTGCCTTACTTTTATAGTTAACTAGTGACCTGGTTCTTATTCTGAATTTGGACGATGCGGCATGCCTTCTCCGACGATGGATGAGAAACGGCAAGCTCATCCGAGAGCGTGTAAGAATGGCTTGCGCGCACGGGTTTAGGGGCAGTTTTCTAGGTAGAAGCAGCATGTAGAACGCTCGCATCTGCTCTGTTGTGATGCTTGGGATGCAAGAACCTTCCATATCAAAATTTCGAGATGTTTGGTTTTGCCGAGCCACTGCCTTTAAAGCCAGCGTCCAGGAATGATATCCACGAAAGTCCCCGCGAAATGGGCTTTTCATGCGAACAAAATGGGCTTAGTCCATGCGGTGCGATAAGATATCGCATTCGCGAATCCATTCATTCCATACAAAATTTTCTAACCAAACCTTTCTCCAACTTGTCTTAACCTGTTTACTCACTCTTGCAAACTCATTTCCATCAAGTGGTCGATATCTGACAAGGCTGACCTAACATTACAATGTTAGTCAAGTGGATATTATATTCTTTCCCACTTTGTTACAACTCACAAAATGCCATTTATTATCGATGGCGTCTAAATTACTTCCAGAACAAAAATTCATGCGATATCCGGGCCTCCGCTTTTCAAAGCTTCTACAAATCTGCAATAAATCAAATTCGTATATAGAGCTTTCTGCAGAAAGCACCTTTGGCTAAACTTGCACTACAATCTGTGAATCAAAATGCTTATCTCTTAGGAAACCTTGCATTACACTACAACCCAAATGGTTTTTTGAGTCGGAAAAACTACGAATCTGCAAGAGATGACTTCGCAAATTTTCTACTTTAGCCCTTGTTTGTCTCTCAGCATAATGTTCACATGTCTAAGTAGTTGAACGCATGGACTATTGTTAGTAGGAGATTTTTTACAGAAATTATCTTGCTAGCTAGCGCCATTTCAGTAATTCTTGCGACGAAATCAAAGTCGCGCTTTTAATGCCATCTTTGCGGTTCGGTTCTGCGAGGTTAGGCAAAAGATAGCTTCTGAGTAATTATATTGGAAGGCAAATCTTTTAAATCTTTCGAATACAAATCATGAATTTAGTTTTGGCTGATGAGTTGAAGAGTTGACAAACTTTATTTGATTTACATAGGAATTTTCGCATCGACCCGATATTTGGAAGCATTTAAGTTTGTTAGCGAATATTTTGGTGAATTCAACGTTCTTTCATGATTTTTACAGCATTTGTATGAGTAGAAAGAAGCACTTGTTTCAGACTTCATAAAAGACATGAAACTTTTTCTACTCACTTGTTACCTCAAAATAGGCTAAGGAACACATTATCAAAAAATCGCCATCAAAAATCTGCAAAAAGGTCAAACATGGGCTTAGTCCTAGCTCATCTTGCTGCTTGGAGTAAAATGAGCTTTCAAGTCCATTTAAAATGGAGGTAAATCCCATTTTGCCCCATTCTAAATGGGCTTTTCGCATGATTCCTTTGCAAGCGAGAGCTCAAGTAGGGTTGAATTATTTTCATCACACCGCTTTGCCTCGTGGTTGCGATGAGATGAAAATTCTTGGATAACGCTAGCGAAAGCAGATTCCGACCAATTTCTACCGCGAACGAATAAAATGGGGTTTGGAAGTCCATTTTCCTCCATTATGGACTTTCGTGGATATCATTCCAGGGAGATCTATGATCGGCTCCCAGATTCGTGTGGAGGTATTGCGGACTTTGCCTGATAACACATGTAAACTTGCTAAACCTCCACGTCATAGCATTGCTTTTCGTAATCTCTCGCTAGCAGAAACCGCCACGCGGTGAGTTGGCAAGGCTCCACCTCCAACGAATCTGGGAGCCGATGATAGAGTTACCCTCGACGTCAATCCCTAAGTTACATTTGCAAAGTGGAGTGTTGTGGTGCGGCCGCCTCGCTCTGCGCTCGCGCCACGTTGCTGGGGCATCGTTTAGACGTGATGTGGCGCTAAAAACAACGTGGCGCCACAACATGTTCAAACGTGGCAACAAGAACAACGTTTCTTCGTTGCTCCTGTTACCACGCCATGCCAACTCATGCGCTCGCAAGGTGGCGCGAGCTCAAAGCGAGGCGGCCGCACCACAACACTCCACTTTGCAAATGTAACTTAGGGATTGACGTCGAGGGTATGGAGATTTTACGTGGAAAGTAGTTTTGGGGTCCTAACTAAGGCAAAAGCAGCAGCGTAGGTGACTCACAACGGCTGGGATATACGCCTCCAAAGGACTCCAGGATCGTATTCACATGGATTCATAGCAGTTTAGCGTGAGGACCCACGCGTTGAGCCATGAGTCCATGCGAAATATGATCCAGGGGTCCAGTTTCGAAGGAGAATCTCAACCTTAGAGCACTACCTGAGCTACCGGTTGGGTATTGGCTTAATTAGTGCCCCAAAATTACTACCCACGTGAGCTTCCCATGTGTCCAGACTTGCCTGGACGCTGCCTTTGAAAACCATTATGAAAGTCGACTATAATGAATTGATATAACAGATCTAGACCACTTAACCTGAGTCAAAGCACATTATGAAAGTCGAATAGAGAGCGTAAAACAGGATATTTTTTTGAGATGTTTGCCGGTATTATTGTGGCCCACAACCTCGAAATTTCAAAGAGCTGATTTGAATTTTCAAGAACTTTTGAAGATTTTCAGTTTTTTTGCAAGTATGAACAAGTCATTTGCACTTCCATAATGTAAGCAACTCTCAAACTGGGTTCAGCAATTGTGAGATCATTCCGGACTTCACTTCGTAACGATTGTTGGTGAGCAGGTGCGAATGCGATTCAGGTTACAATCGCAAACTTAGTCGGTTTTTTTTGACGCTCCGTATAATTTTTAAAAGTTTATTTGGGATTTCGCATTTTATTAAGTTTGTGTATGTAAGATACAGCTTCCGTAAACATTTCTTCTCAGCTGTGATTCTGAAATAAACAACGATGAGCGAAAGAGTGCGATTAGAAAAATGTCTTTACATTTCAGTTCGTATGGAACATTCTTTTCATAGCGTGGCCCCAGATATGCGCTTAGTGTGTCCCATTCAGGTGGATCGGCGTATTTCAAGTTATAAGCCTAGAATACATAGATTTGCTTGACGATAAAAAAGCTCAGAATCTGCTCAGATCCTGATCGGAACAGACATGATCCGCGATTGATTGATTGTTTCAGAAGTGTCGCAGGTGTAGAGGACATCAGGTCGCTAAAAGGGAAGTCTCTTGCCGACATCTGCAATATATGTGCACTCCTCTCCATCACAGCGCGTGCAAAGTGTCGTTGCGGATGGAGCCTATCGGCGACCTGTTGTCCTCTATCTGTGTAAAAGTCCTGATAAGCTTTCGGCAAACAAGCGAATCTCAAATGTTACTCTTCGAGTTTTTGGTTGATTTTCAATTATACTTCCAAGCGAGATTTATATAATGTTAAGGTGTGATTTCGAAGTCTGACCACCTAAGATATTCAGCTAGATGATGCTTTGAATCTAACAGATCATTTCATCTTCTTCTTCTTGAAGACTGCGTACTTTTCAAGAGCTGAATGTCAGGTAAGCACACGGTTCGAAATTGTTAAGAATGTGTTGCGGTTCATCGTGTTTAGATAAGGGGAATTTCGAGACAAATCAGATGCAGGCGCCCTCAAGGATCCCAGCTAGTTAGCTTTCTGAGCGTCAGCGCCGCTGCTGTATCCGTCAGTGACCAAGGAGTTGTAATTTCGGAATATTTCGAGACTATGATAAAGTGCGGTTCATAATTATACGAACACCCAAAATTTTGTAAGTTTTCGGACTTTTTGGGAGAAACTCAAAAAGCCGTTGGTACCACGCGAAAGAGCACAACCGATAACGGTATGTGATCCATAAGAATAGAAATTGATGTCAATCTTAGGAGTGTTCTTGCGCATTATGCGAAATTTTAGCGGTTCATAATTATACGAACACCTCAAACAAAGGTCCATTTTTTATTCAAGATTGCAATCATTTGAGTTCAAATTTTTTGTAGAGTTACAGTAACAAAGTCTGACATATCTGCTACACACTGAACTCAGTGCAGTTCAAAAAGAGGACCGTTATTTTTTTCAGAAGGCTCTAAATGCTTTTGGAGTGATTGCGCTCCAAAAACATCCGTTCTTCTGTGGTTTACGCGCTCTAATTAGCTTCTACCAAAGCTATGAGATAGAATAAGCTCTTTCGATAGGTATTTTGTTTGACGCTTGGAAAATCTTTGCGTTTTCGCGCCGTTTTTCAACCAAGTTCCAACCTTATCACAGAGTTAGCACGATTTGAGCCTCAAAACTCAGCTTCTGAAGCCGTACAATGAAGTAAGCATGTAGTATGTAGAAGTTCACAAGACTGTATATTTGGCTAGAAAAAATCAGCAGCGTTGAGGGTTTGTTTTGGCCACGCAGACGTCATTTCACCAAAAACACTGTTTTTACCATTGCAATCACACCTCTATTTGGTTTGTAGCTCCGCGGCCTCAAGATCAGTTCTACAAAAAACCCAAAAACTTTGGTACAAAAACATCACCATGCAAGCAATGCAACTGCTTCATATCAGATGTTTGCGCAAGACAGAAGCTGAGTTTTGAGGCTCGAAATCGTGCTAACCATTAGGGTTGGGATGGAACTTGGTTGAAAAACGGCGCGAAAACGCAAAGATTTTCCAAGCGTCAAACAAAATACCTATCGAAAGAGCTTATTTTATCTCATGGCTTTGGTATAAGCTAATTAGAGCGCGTAAACCACAGAAGAACGGATGCTTTTGGAGCGCAATCACTCCAAAAGCATTTAGAGCCTTCTGAAAAAAAATAACGGTCCTCTTTTTGAACTGCACTGAGTTCAGTGTGTAGCAGATATGTCAGACTTTGTTACTGTAACTCTACAAAAAATTTGGACTCAAATGATTGCAATCTTGAATAAAAAATGGACCTTTGTTTGAGGTGTTCGTATAATTATGAACCGCTAAAAATTCGCATAAGGCGCAAAAACACTCCTAAGATTGACATCAATTTCTATTCTTATGGATCACATACCGTTAACGGTTGTGCTCTTTCGCGTGGTACCAACGGCTTTTTGAGTTTCTCCCAAAAAGTCCGAAAACTTACAAAATTTTGGATGTTCGTATAATTATGAACCGCACTTTAGTGTGGTAATAGTAAGTCATCAATGTGTCATACCATGGGTGCACGGGCCCTTACAAAAATCGTCCTGCTTTTATGAGTCAGCAATTATTTGATCAGCATGAATATTAAGCTCTAGGCAAAATCTCAACCAGATCTGTATCAATCTGTAGTCTAGCCCTCACTACCATTTACCTGCTGTGAGCCTAGAATTTGGCAAAAAAGTGGTTGCATTTGTTTCTAATCTCATAATCTACGATGACAAAAAACTACAACAAACTAGCAAAAGTTGCTACCTCCGAAGCTGCTTCGAGTTGTGCCGCAATGTGATCGTAATCGGGTATTGATGCATAATTTAATGTGTCGATGTAGAGAATTATGCTGAGCATGTATTCAACAGGACCATATTCAAGTATCTGAATGTGAAAAGCATCAGAAGAAAGCCTCGAAACTCAATGTATACACGATTCATAACACGCAAAGACTGGACGCCGTTGCGTCCGGCCAAGATAGTTCATGCATGGGAGAAATAGCGTGGTAAGAGAAAAGAAAGATTGCGCGATCACAGAGACGCCGATAAGTCCGCAGTCTTTGCGTGCTACGAATCGAATATACATGCCACCTTTTCAAGATTAGCACGTTCCCGTATTTGTATCTTTTGATTGATTACAGCGTCCTTTTCTACGCCCTGAAAGGTTGAAACAAGTCAGCAGAGCGCAATTCAAGGACCCGTATGCACGTACATTCCCGCTGGGGAGGGAAGGGGAGGGGATCGAAGAGAAGACGCGTCATATTTTGTTACTTCATCGGTAGTCTTTTTTTTCTTTCTAATTCCAGAGGTTCTTAAGCCCTAATATTTCACGTTGTAAAGGCTCTTACCTGATATTTCAGTACTAGCTTACGCTGCCGGTCTCACTCGAAATTAGACCAACAAAATGTGTTGGCCTTCAAACTTCTTTTACCATGCGCGAAAAGCGCTTTAAGACAAACTTCCGAATCTTGCCGCCTTTGGGACTAGAATGAGCTTTACTGCCTCCGCTTACATGTTCGTTGGCAAATAATTGGTTAGAGCATGAAAAGCTTTCATTTTCTTAGGTGTAAGTAAACAAATCGATAACACGATAGAGCAACCCTGCGAATCTTTTCCGAAAAGTAGCCTAACCCGGAAATGTGCAGGAATCGAAATGACTGCAGCATAAATTGCAGCTTCGAAGTGTATTCCATATGTGCTTAGCGCCTATGTGGGTGAGGTTATGAGCCGCTAAAGGCCGTCATTTTGCTAAGAAATCATGCATGCAAAGCGTAATTTTGTCAGTATGGAGCCATATTCGCTTCAATGCTGGGCCTAAACATGCAGGTAGGTTACTTCATATTCAGACCTGACAGACTAGATCAAAAGCCTAAAGATGGGCTGAAAGTGCGACAATGTGCTTCGCAATTTGCTACTTACGATTTTTTCGCAATGAAACTGCTCATAACTTCATATACAAAAGGCGGTAAGCAATTATGAATAAATTCGAAATCAGCGTTAGATGCTGCATCAAATGCTAGGCAGCTTGCTAGGATTGGCCCTTCGACTTCTGACCAGTCTTTTGTAAGGTTCCCCACGCAGTTATATGTCAGCCCCTCCTGTCTAAGGCAAAATTTTGCTTTATATTATACATATATCTTTGCAATTACGTACGCTACATGTAGCGGAATCATAAGCTTCTGCATTAATGTAAGGAAAAAACGAAATGCTTTGTTAAGGAACATGCAAAAGCGAGTTTAGTAGTGTGATTTTACTTAAAGGCAGTGACTCACCAAAGTTGAGGTCGCGCGGATCTTCACATATTCTACTATAGGGACCTCTAAATAGGCCATTGCAACAAGTCCCACTCAATTTGATCCCATCCACGCTGAGAAAAATTCGCTCAAAGTGGTACGCGGAGAGCGAGTTGGTACGCGCGGACGACGACTCCTTCGGTCTCCCCCTTACGCGTCTGAACATGTCCCTCCACTTGACACCCACCTCTGTTGCTGCCACTGTGGCTGAGGCTGAAGCTGGAAGGTACAACCCGTCCACGTTGCTTCCACAGGGCTTCCAGAAAACGGGGTTTTTGGAAACTTCGTGCAATTCTAAGCCCAAACAGTGCTAGACAGGGTCCGACAGGCATGCAAAATGCAAAAATCTCGACAACTAAATTTTGGTGAGACATTGCCTTTAAGTATTCTACAGTAACATAGGGGAAAAACCGGGGAGTGCGAACTGTTCATTTCGTAATTTTCAAGAAAGGCTGAGAGAATTTAGCGGTACGAGAGACGACTAGGGTATACTTGTTGTATACTTGGATTTGTGCTCAGTTTTTGCGAAACATTATGGCTACGGGCATGCTACAGTTTCCAGTTTTTCTAATTTTTTCACTGACCTTGCAATGACGCCACGGCAAGTACCCAGTTGTCCACTCAACAACCATATACCACCACGATTCGACATCATCTTTACGGCTTTGTTCCTTCTGGAAGAAGCAATTTGGCTACAGGTGTTATTTTTCACAAATTTCTAAAGTAATTGCGGGTTGAACACTATCGGCAACGAAACTATAGCTTTTGTCAGCCGCCAAGAAAACAAAAGCAAACCTTGATGTGATTGATCTGACAAAGCGATGCCTAGACTGTGTTGTAGATGTGTTCCAGTGATTAGAACAACGTAGAGTAAAAAGCTTGCGTTGAATTCCTTTGCTCTAACAGAGCTTAGTTTTTATGAAAGTAACGGAAGCTGTATGCATACCAGTGGCGTACCGAGGGGGAGGGGGGTAGGCCCTCCCGAGAATGAGTCGGGAAAGTTTCGAAAGCTACTTAAGTGCGTTGTAAAAATGTGCAAGCGACCTCTTTTTACGTGTAAATAATTAAAACATTTTTAAAAAAATGTTAAAAATTCAACTCAGCTAAGCAAAAAAATTTCTCAGGGCGTGGCTGCAGTTACGCCCCCTTTTCCTGAAATTTATTGAAGTTTTGGGGCAGAGGGCCGCAATTTTTGGAGTGCGTGGCTGACGCCACGCACCTTCATCAGGGGCCGGCACGAGTCGGTTTCTAGGGTTTCTGAAAACGAAGTCTCCCCTGGCTTTCGTAAGTTTTACGAAGTCCTCTTTGACCTACCTGCTTAGAAGAAGATGAAAACAAGAAAGATTTACTAATCTGGAAAAAAAGACGTAAGGTAAGAACGAAAATCCAAGTTGGAGCTGAATACTACGCATGCACAAGTCATTGGCATTAGAGCGCGATATTTAACAAAGCGAGAGGAAATGAAGGCAAAAAACAAAGGAAATTCAATGATATGAAAATGTCTTTATGCTCAGGGAAGATTTTTGACCGGAGAATCCGTCCATGCAAAGAAGATCCGAAACTTATGTGAAGTGATGAAAATATATGCTCCAGATGATCTCAGATCGTTCTGGTGGCCGTCTGGAGACGATCTAAATTTGGAAAAGGTATTCCCTCCCATAAGTTTTCAAAACTTTTTACTTAATTCTTCCTCAAATAATTTTCTATGCGTACAGTCCAACTTGTCATATGATTCTGTGTGCGCTGTAAACAAGCAAGTTGTTTATTTTAGCCTTGCTTTCAAATCGCGCGCACTTTCCGCCATACACGATAGAGCATGTAAATCGTGCGATAACCTGTCCGAAAAGCTTGTCGACTGAATGGCGCTTATTCTTGGTGCTCGGTTCCAACTCGTCAAAAACGATATCTTCTTTGCTGTTTGCTTCAAAACCGAAGTCCAGCCTGCTTCCAAACGATCTGTGCCGGGCCCTGACCTTCATCCGAAAATAATTTTTGTCCCCCCCCCTCCCGAGCGGAAATCCAGGGTACGCCACTGATGCATACGTCCATTACAAATTACTACAAAGTGCGCAAGACTTTTATAATATGGATATCATACAAACCTGATTCAGAGCCGCTATGCTTGCATATCTTGCTGTACCGCGAAATGCAGCTCTGACTCGCTGATAGCGTAAATCTTTTCCAGAACTTCTGCAATTGTCAGTCATTCACAACAACCCCAGATCTTCAAATACAAATTTCAAAAATGCTCATAAAGGAAAACTATTGACATGCTCCAAGCAAGGGTAAGCAAGCGCAGATGCTAATTTAGCGTTTCAAGTGGTACCAAGGCCCATAACTGCAGATTGATGACCAGATGCTTTTGGGACGATATTACAATTGTGCAGCTCTTGATGTATCGATGCTGATGCAGCATGTTAACAAAAGGATTAACTTGATAAGTGCGCTGTGCATAAGGCCCTATATTAATCACCAATTCAATAGGAGTAAACGTGCGACGAAGACGGTGCAAATTTCGAGCAAATACCTTATAATCGGTAACGGACGAGGATAGAATTGTGAGTATAAGTAGGATAGAATTGTGAGTAGGATAGATTGTGAGCAAGACTCAAGACATTGGTCAAATGCAGAGTCAACGTGCTACGCAGTCTTCGAGCAAACCCAGTGGCTTTTTGTATCAAGGTCCAGATGTCAAGCCTTGAAGGCAGCTCCCACCCAAATTGAGCATGACGAGATTTTAAAGCTATTAGATCGGTGCAAAAGTAATGACCGTTTTCGAATTCTCACTTTGACGTGCTATAACTTTCTGGAAAATCCACATTTTTAAATGCGGTAAAGACCTTCAAAAGCAGCAAACCTTTTTCAATACAGCGCACATATTTATATAGGGTGTTTCACATGAAATGTGACGCACAAAAGCTTTCGTAACTTTGCTAACACTAATTGAAATTGGAAGCTTTTGTTTCCATTTGACAAACAAGAAAATTCCGTATAAGACATTGTAGATTACTTTTGAGATATCCACCTTTGGTTTTGGTGAAAGAATTTATTCTGCTCGGGGAATCAAAATGCGCGCAATGGTTTTTGGCGGAATTTCGTCCCAGAAGCGAATCCCATGAAATAGATCTGGAAGAGCAGGCGTTTTGCCTACAGAAAGGAAAGAGAGAAGATTTGTGGGTTCAAAAATGTTTGAGTGGAAAGGCCAAACAGTGTTTTTTCATATGTGTTCAACATGAGGACAAGCTCCAAAAATTCGTTTTTTTGTCTTTTTCATTTATGTTTTGATGATAGTCGTCTTCTCCATGTTCTTTTGTCTCGTTGTGCTTGTTTTCCACTTCGATTCTTAGTAAACATGGTCAAGTTTGAAGGTTTATCAATGTCAGTCGCCATGGCAACGAAAATCGCGGTTTTTGGAGATTCTGAAAGAAGCATCGAAAGCAAAGTTTGAAGGGCGGTGGCACTTTCTTGAATCAAAGGTAATACTATAGACGCTCTTGGGAATTTCTAGCATGACTAGACACCAATCCACAGCGAAAAGAAGAATTTGTAATTGTGTAAAATCCATCGTCTGGACACTAAAAAAAAGATAAGTGGCCCTCTAGCTCACCTATTTTTGAACCCACAAATATTATTTTTTGTCTTCCTAAAAGAAAAAAGCTGCCCTTCAAAACTCATGTCATTTGATTTGCCAGAAAAAAAACCTGGGCCGATAGTAATCTACCTTACCTGGTGGCATCATAGATGCCGGCAAGTTGGCACACATCGCGGAAAGATGCCAACTCCGCCGGCAGCTCGCGGAGTGATTGTAGGTTTCAATAATCCTATGTAACCTTGGCACGCAATCATTTCGCACATTAAGTTTTGATGACGCAGACAGCCGCAAAATGCTACCTTGCGCGCGGTCGAACCTATGTGCGTTAGCTTGAAGTGCCACCACGTTAACCATTCGACCATTCGGTCAGCCATTGCCTTTTGCACCAGCAATAGGAGGAACGCACTGGTGAATGGCTGCCTATAAAAGGGATCGATACATTGCGTGAGAGACTTTGACCTGAAAGAACAGCTGATTGATATGAGCGAGAGAGGAGCGAAATCGGTGCAAACTGAGATTTATAAGGGATTGCCAAAACAGTTCGTGTTCTATATGATTCTAAGGCATTAGTGGATTTTTTCTCTGTAAGAAAATCGTCATTTTAAAAGAGAAAAACCCATATAATGAGAAAAATGATAGTTTTTTCATGAAAAGTAGAATTTTTGATTTTTTCGCCTGACGTAAATTGTGTGATATCGCCGCAATTCGCAAACTCGCAGACGCCGTCGGCAAAGGTGCCACCACCTCGACGTGGTAGGGGCACGTCGAGATGCCGGCAGCTCGCTCTCTCAAAAGAGCCCGCTATTTCCCGTGCTCTCTGACCTGCCGGCAGCTGCCATCTCGCGGATTCCGGCAATGCCGGCAGGTTGCCGGCAACTAACATCGCGAAGTTGCCGGCAGCTCCTCCTGGAATTCCAGATATTTTACTAAAGGAGGAGTTCTGGAGCCGCAGATTTTTATGAAGTTTTCTACAGAGTCGAGGCGGCAACTTTATCGAGAAAATTTTTTGAAAAAAGGCCTGGGACGGCCTATATTTCGGTTCTTAGTTTCTGGCCACCTCGCGGAAAGGTGCCAGCAACCTGCCGACGAGACCTGCCGCCAGGTCGGGGGGATTACTACCGGCCCTGGTGAAGGTTTGGGAGCAGAAACCATCGCGCGCAAATCGAAGAATTTTTGGAAGAGGTTTGGAAGAGAAAAAACGATTTCAAATAAACCACGGACAAATTATCTTAAAAGTTAGCTAAAAGTTTTAATACAGAATTCTCTTCTCTATCATCTGAGGACAAAAGCTACTGATTTCATTTAGTCCTTGCTGTAAGTTATAATATTTTATTGTTGTGTCACACTTCGTATGAACCACCCTGTACTCACATTACAAGCGGGTGGAAAAATATGGATTATAAAACAGAAAAGGTTTTTTTTTCTAAAACCTTCTATTTGACAATTCCTGACTTCCTTCAAAGTTTGTTATTATGAATGATAATTGGCCTAGCTTGCAGCCGCAAGCGAATAGTACAAAATGCCATAAAAAGAGTTTGGAGGAAAAAATCTGCGAAAAAATTCAAAAATAAAAACGTCACTTCTTCAACATTCTTTCGGTATGCCTCAAAACCCCGAATACAGAAGTAGATCAAAAGCTCTCTTATCTTTGAACCTGGGCATTTTGATATGTGTCAGTAAATGATTGTTGTGCCAAAACCAGATTTCTTGGTGGATGTTTATTCGACCGACGTTTCGACGGACTTGTCTTTTTCAAGAGGTCTGAACGTAGATTATAGGTTTTTGGATCTGACCAGTACGCCGCCAAGAGCCTCCTCCACGAGTGCTAGTCTAGACCTTATCGGAGGATAGCAGCCAGCGGGAACCATCAAAGTTGTGAAACGAGCTAACCTTAACTCCACCGCATACCAGTAAGTCCGCACAATGGGACAATAGCGGACGTCACTGAGTGTCACCCAATGAGTCAAGGGTATTTATGTGCGGCTGTTCAGATTGCATAGCGGTATGAATGGCAAGAGATCACTGTTGATTGACACGCATTCATTCTTAGCATTCATTTTAGGATTCCTCACAAGTATCCATGCTGCCTCAAGGATCTTTCTTGCGCAAATCTCAGTCTCGTAAGACAGAATGGTACATTTGACTTTGAAGTCGTTTACACCATGTGCTTCAGCTTTGTGTCTTCCCAACGGTGTTGTTAATATCCCACGTCTTTTGCTAGACAAATGTTCCTTTAGTCTTACACCCAACGCTCTACCGCTCTCCTATGTAGCAGCCTTGGCAGCTCAAACATTCCAGCTGGTATATCACACCTTCCTTTGCACAATCCCCAACATTGCCGTACGGGCATACGATGCATTCATCTACTATGCATTCGTAATCGTAGAGTCTATTCCGGAATAGCTGCTTCTTAGTGTTATCCTTCGGTACCTCAACCAATATCACATCATTCTGCAGTTCAGCTCGGTGGATGCATCGTCTAATTGCCGCGCTAACCTTATCTGATATAAAAGGGATGCAAAGTGGAACTTTATTGTTATTCTGTCTATGGATAGAGGTATCGGAAGGTGCAAAAGTTTTGCATCTGTGTTCAATTGGTACATATCCGTTACTCTGCACAATTTGTAATGCCAGCTTTCCTGATTCGAGCTGCTCTTCGTGGCCTGTGCATACCGCTGTAGCATCATGCTGCGGATGACCGCTCGTTTTGTTGCTGCAGGGTGAGCTAACTTTGCGTGGATCAAGATGTTTTTGGATGCTTCCTTACGATACCATTTAACATGGAGTACACCATCAGATAATCTGATCTGTGTGTTCAAATAAGGGAGCCATCCGTTACGTGGTGTTTCTCTAGTGAACCGTATGTACTGGGACTGTTGGTTTGAAATCGCAAAGTACTCATCCATTTCGGCTTGAGTCGATGTTATTATACAACAGTCGTCGATATATCGACAGTACATTAACGGCATACGCGCAAGTACTGGCTGCTCGATTTTACTCATATAACATACTGCGAGAGGTGCTAGGCGTTGACCCATAGCCAGTCCTCGTATCTGGGAGAAATATCTCCCAGACCACTTAAAGATGTTACATCCCAAGCATGCTCGAGTGAGGGCCAGTATTTGCGTTTTGTTCAGACCAAAGGTGCTTATGGCTGTTATATGTTTGTCCAACATTTCAGAGAGAGCGTGTAATGCGTCATCGTTATGACATTAGTGTATAAAGAAGTCACATTGAAGGACTCCATAATGACACTATGTCCAAACTTCGTGTTACCCAGCTGCTCTGGAAATTGATGAGTATTGGACAAATGAGCGGGCACCTTTGGCAGAAGCTGGTTCACGATCTTGCAAATAAACCACGATATGCGATCCGTATGTCCTCCAATGCAGCTAATTATGGGCCGTATCTTATAAGACTCCGGTGACATGGCGCGCATTTCGTGTGACTCAATTTTATGCGTTTTTACCAAGTGGTAAAAAACTGGACAATTTGGATTCTGTGACTTCAATCTACTTATCAGTCGCTCATCGAGACCTGCAGATCTGCCCACGCTCATCCAAATATCGTTCAATTTTTTACACTGGAGCTGGTAGTC